TTCATCATCATTTGAAGGGAGAACGAAATCCTTCAGCGTAAAAGGTAGAAGAGATTTCATCTTCCTCTCAGAAGTTACAACAAATTTGTCTCTTTCATACATCTTTCTAGTTTAAGTAGAAGTAGAAGAAATATGCTTAGTAGACACTACAACAGAAGAAGAAGAAAAAGAAACTAGCAAAGCAACTAGGCTGACAACTATCGACTTAGCCTATAGGGACCTCCTCTCAACTGCCTTTGAACTCTAAATTGCCCGTCTGATCATACCCCTTGTCTTGCGAGAAAGTGAAAGCTGCCACTCTTCCCTACAACTAAGGGGGGCTCCACTATCACTACTCTGACCATCACACTGACTGGAACTTGTAATCATCTGAACAACATGAGCAACCTTGCCTTGAGGATGTACCAAATCACTATTCTAAAGGTGAATCTCACCACTAGCCATAAGGCTCTCCACTCTATCTTTGAATACATAGCAATCTTCAAGGACATGTCCAATATGTTGATGAAAAGGATAGTAAAGTGGATGCTCTGTTTGCCCCTCTTCTCTTGGTTTATATTTAAATTGAAATGTCAAAATATTTTTCTTAATAATAAATTTAAAAATCTTATTTACACTTTCCCTTTTAAAGGGATATTCTTTACTGAGCTTCTCCTGTAGGTACTGTTGATTCTCTGGAGTCTTATAGGAGGGTCTAAGCTGCTGACTTTGTGGTCGTGGCTTAAACTGTACAAGAGGTTGTACTGGTGGTGGCATCTATGGTTTGGGCTGAGAATGTGGTTGTGGTGGTGGTCGTTGTGGTACTGAACTAACCATGTGCCTCTTGCCCTTATCCTAAGACTCAAAGCTATGCACTTCCACCCTCCTAGGAGATGGTGCCCCTGAAAACTCATGCCTTTGAGGTCTACGTGGGGGTTCTCTCAACCTTAGGAAGGACTGCAGCAGGTATGCTGTCCTGCAAACTAGTGACCTTGATTAACAACTTCTAAAAGATTTGGATATTAAAACCCTTCAGATATGGAGCAATAGGACCAATTATATTCTTCAACAGAATCTCAACTATATGTTGCTTCTGAAATTAATGCTCGTACTGAAGGCTAAGATTTCTCCACCTAATAATATATTTAGGTAGAGACTCATGGGGGCACTGCTTGGTCAATACTAACTCACCAACTGTCACTCTATGCTCTATACTAATGAATCTCTGAAAAAACAACAGCTCCAACTCAGCCAAAGTACGTATTGAATCGTTGGGGAGATCGGCATACCACTCAAATGCCACTGCCACCAAACTGCTAACGAATAATCTCAACATCAATGCATAATTTCCTCCAATGTATAACATATGGCCCGATACTAATCCATATTTTATCTTGGGTTTCCTAACCTATCAAACACTCAGAAGTGAGGAGGAATAAAATCAGGGGGTAAGGCTCCCGCTTGTACTCTACCGAGTAAGGATGACATCTACTAACTGAATCTCAAAACTTTCTAGAAGAGATAGCCTGGTCAACCCTCTATGCAATCATATCCTGAATCTATACTGATGATAACTGAATCTACTGGCTCTAGATTGTACAACAAATTGTACTGCTGGGGGAGCTACTAGGACTGTCCTCTAAACTCTATCAACTCTTATAGGCTTTGGGACTACTAACTGTAGCACTGCTAGCTCATCTTTGGTTGTAGTGGGAGTACCTACATCCACAACCTAGGGTGTAGCCCCTAATGCCATCAACTGGACAATCATCGTCGTCATAACTCTGGCCATCTCTGCCATCTGAGTATGCAACCATAAAACTGGCGCATCCATATCTACTAATCAGGGAGGTCCACCCTGTGCTGAGGTGGAAGGTACATCAGCCTCCCCTTGTTCCTCCATGCCATCGTACTGCTCTCTCTTATCCTATGACGTACCCCGCCTAGTAATAACACAAACACAGTGAACGGGAATGTCCTCATCTGAGCCTTCCCCGAGGAGGTCATCGGAGATGGTCTGACAAAGGGCATCGATGTATGGACCCATAGGAGGGAGATCTTAGGGGGACTAGAAATAGGAACTAGCTCCACTCAAGTCGAGGTACTATCCTCAACATCTACTACACCATCATGAGTCATCTGAACTACCACTGGTTCTGAAGGAGCTGTATCAATCTATTAAATCGTCCCAATTGTCTACTCTGACTCTACAGGTTGATCTACCTACCGATGCCTCCAAACCCATATACTACGATGTGACCCGGTAAAAACATCCAATTGAGTGGAGGGGGTGACAACAACTGAACTAAGCTGAGGCCGGATAGGCTCCAATTGTGGGCGACGTTCGTGATGGTGGGGGCGTCGTCCAACAGTAGGGATACCTACTTGGTGTCTAATATTAGGAGCTACTCTATTCTGCTGCCGTGGTGGCTATCCTCTCTGCCATCGGTAACTCTGTCTAACAGACTGTTGCTGCAATTGTGCATGCACATGAGAGATCTGGTGGAGTAAGCTCTCCTCGCTAACACTCCCTCTACCGTATGCCGAATGGATAATACTTTGGATCCTCTAAGTGAGGGTCCTAGTAACACTATCCCTGGGGACTCTAGTATGAGGAAGAGTTGTGGGGATACGAGGGGTCATCGCAATGCAAATACCGTCCTCCTCGTCACCACTACATACTAGCGGTGAGAAGCATCCTCCCTGAACTGTGTTGATCTTAGGGGTGACAATAATATCAAAAAATGGGATAACTATAGGTCGATGTGGCTCCCCCTGTAAGGGAACCACCCTCTACTAAACTGGCTCCTTGTGAGCCAAAGAAACTACCATCTGATGAACAACTGTATCGGATGCCGCCAAATATAATCTCATATTCCTATTCCTTCTGACCCTTCTCTTAATGTCGGAGGTGGAGGAGACATGGTGAAAAGAGGGACAGGAGCTACTGAAGAAGGGAGTGCTAGGGTCTCCTCAATAGTCTCAGGGTGAGACAGTCAGGTGAAAATAGAAACCTGATGGGTAGGGGGTGGAGGAAGCTCGATCTGAGCAACCCTCTTCCTAGAGGAGGAAGGAGGAGGGGAAGCCCGAGCACAAGCAGCCTCTACCGGGATAATTGGAAGAGGAACTGCTGGCTACCGGTGCTGAGGGGTTGGAGCCATATGAGCAACTGGAGATATAGAAGCTGGCAGTCTAACCGCTGATCAAACTGGCTGAACAGGGAGTGGCCTAGGTACTAGCTACCTAGCCATTGGGCGTACTGGCTACACATAAACAGTAATGTGAAGTGCAGGTGTCTGAGCTGGCTACCGAGCAACCAGACATCCAAACGGGTGCATGGATGCACGCCCCCTCCTCTGTGGGGGAGAGAAGGCAGCAGCCTCGAAGGGGGTTGGCCCACCAAGGGTGACGTAAGCTGAGTCAGTAAAGGATCCGAAGGTGATCCCCCCCCAACAGGTAGGCTAGAGAGCAGGGACTCAGGGAGTGTCACCCACGAGTCAGAGCCAAAGTAAAAAGTAACGGAAGGACCAGAGTACGCCATTACACTGTCTGCTAACACAAACTATAATAATTAGCGTAAAACAAAATCGCGAGAAGGAAAGAGAGAAGGAAGGGACGGAATAGCCTACAAAGGCTAGAAAGGAAAGAACCTAAATAAGGAGCACTAAAAACCAGAGTGCACATGAGAGAGAATAATATAACATCTAAAGATGGAGAGAGAAATCTATCCCACCGTGGTCGCCAGAAATCTGTGGGTCTCCAAAAGGATTATGCTTATGGGATTCAAAAGCAAAGGGTACGACCACACTATCCCGTAGGATAAAATGATCGTAGGCCTTTACACTCGATATAAGCATGACAATAGAAGAGCAGATGAAGCCATACATACGATTAGCCATGAGAGATAGCGGCTTTTGCTTACACACTTTGATGGATAATAATATATATAACCCAAAATATCACAAGATTTCCCCCATTCGATACATCAGCTCGAATGGGTTTATTTTTATGTGGGGATCGGTTTTCCACGGGTGCAAGCCTCCGTGGTTATTTATATCTTAGACATCAGTCTATGAAAACTCTCGATTAGTGATGTTATATTATTTTCTCAAAATAGGTTTAGTGCATAGGGGAATTTGTAGGCTCTCCTAATCAAAGGGGAAGATATATTCAATTTAGTTTAATTATCATACGCGGCTCAATATCAACATCTGATCGGTCTAAATAAGAGAAAACTGAAGAAAAAGACATAGAACCTCAAGCATGCGTAAGAGAAAGATGGAGGTGGCGTCATCTGTGTGACGCGGATGGATGGGATTCATAGGCTCTAAAGAATAGAGAACTCACCCACCTATAAGGCATATAGCGGTACACTTATACTTCTAGCCTTAAATCCTAAATCTATAAAAGCTATGGTATTGTACACATAATACTAACATATATAACCTAAGTAATGCAATCTGTCGCAAGGGGACTTACAGCTTAAATCCCACAAGGGATCTAAGCAGCCCCGACCTAGATTTACCACTCTGCTCAGAAAGGGGTACCAGCTAAACTCCACCTAGCATATCAAATCCATGTTGTTCACTCTTATGTAAATGCAAGAGTGGTGGGAGGCACAGAAAAAGAAATATGTATCAAAACCGACCATGAATGGTACTATGCAATACAAACTAAACTATCCCTCTATGTTGCAAAAGAAAAATCTATATGTTGACTCAAGGCTATGCATGTGAGGTTAGGGCCAATTATGATTGGCCAATAGTCACTGCGAAGTGAGCAAGGCTTACTTATTGTAATTTTTAAAAGTAACACTTTAAAGGAGTCATGCATTAATAATTTTTTTAGAAAAATTGATTGATTTTAATCCTATATTCACTTTTTATCTTACTTAAATAAATTTTAAATTTGTAGAAAATTTAACATCCTAAAGAGCCTAACGTTGAGTCCGACTGAGCCACACCCAAACAAAATAATTTAAGAAACTTTAAAAAAAGCATGCAGTTTTAATATGCAAGTACAGTAAACACATCATCACATCAATAATATTAATCAGAGTATCCAAAAGTCCGTGGCAAGTGCCACTTATTATATAGCCCAAGAAGTACTGAAAAGTAGAGGTGGCCGAGCTCCACCGACAACAACCCGGATTCTATCCCTATGAAATGATAAAAGTCTTAAAAATGAGGTATTTTGTTTATCTTCATCTTCTTTACCTTCAAGCTTCTTGTGTTGCATCATCCAATAGGATATCGAAATGAGAAGAAATTCCTTATAAAGGATTTTCTTTTTTCTTTGGATCCCTAACACATTAAAAATACCTCATTTAAATGCTTTCACAACACTTTAGATCAAATTACATTTTATATGAAAGAAAATTACATTGATCCCCTACAAAAAATACGTATTAGCATAATTATAACAAAAATCACACATCATCCAGAATCTAGTCCTCAGGGTCATATTTCCAAGGGCTTTTTAGCATTCCTCGCGGTATATATTAAAGAGCATATTTATGATAACAAGATTATTATGTTGGCCTTTAGGAACATGACCACCTGCAGAAGATATTTCTTAAAAAAAATCTAACCACTTAAGGGCAAGTGCCCACTCACCAATAAAAAAAAGAAAAGAAAGTAATAAAAAAAACAATCCAAACCAAAAACAATCATCATATCATCACATATGCAAAATATAAAAGAAAAAAAGTGTTAAAAATTATCTTAGCTACAACCTACCTTAGAATGCCTATAAACGGTGTCCTATCCAGCATCTAAGTGTGTGAAAAAATGTGTATCTAACTACCCTAAAATAGGTGAGTGGTTTTGATTTATAAGGTCGAATTCTTATTATTTAATTTATTAACCCTCACGCTTCTATTTAAGTGCTTACCATTTAGGATGAATTAATTAAAACTTGATCTTAGGATTAAAATTTGAGTTATTAAATTATAAAGAGCCTAAAATCTTAAGCCCTAACTTATACTAAAATTATAAGGAATTAAGGGGCAAATGGCCCATCCTCAATCATGCTCCTAATTAAGGCCGAAATTATTGAAAGGTGGCAAGGGTTGGTTATTACTTCCCTTGGTAATAATCTAGGACTCGAGGAATGGCTAAAGGTGACACCACTAAGATAATCCTACTACCCACCATGAAAAGAAAATCCTAAGTTTCTTATGTCTAAGGTAAATTTATTTTTAAAAGCTGACATGAGAGTGGAATGACATACTATCTATAGAGATGTATATGGGTTCTACCTAACCTAAGTTATAACACTTGGGTGGTTAAGGTAGTTGGTTTAGGTCCCTAAAGATGGATTGAATTTTTCTAAAGGAGGGACAATTTATATAGACCATTGTACATTTTTTAAACTAAAGCACAAAGGTGAATATAAATTCCATATAGGTTAAGGTGCTAAGGCATATCTTGAAATTCATTTGCTCCACCAATAGGTTTGTTTTGGTTTACTTATAATTAGGAGACTTTAGTTAAAGTTCAAATATTAGTATCTTAATGCTTTGTTAAACACAAGAAGGTTGGTTGAAAGGATTTTAATGATCTTAATTTAGTTTCAACTTAATTAATGTAGGTTATCATATAAGGAGTGGGTGAAAGAGGTATTTTACATATTTAAGATTCTACTTGAGTGGTTAATAATTTTAAAGATGAATATTGGTTAAGGGAATTTTAGAGATTATAGATTAATTGAAGAATTTTAAGGAGTTGTAATAATTTATGAATTCAATTAGAGACTTATGTGTTGGTTATATTTTATTAGCCAATTTTAATACTTAATGCTTAGATTTTATATGTACTTCTTATATTTTTAAATTAGTTAAGATTTGAGTGGAAGGGTTTAATTCGTTGGTAGCTTATTATTGCTTACTTAAGTTAAACGACAATTACCATTGTTAAACCAGGGCTATGAGGTTTATTTCACCCTCCTTGGAACTAAGTTAATAGCTTCGTAGGCCCGAGTTGCTAGGTAATCATCTAGTTATTAAGCATTATGTTTGTTATTTAACAAATTTTAGCAAAAGATAATCATTAAGATTGGTTCATTAATGATCTAAAATTGATTATGAATTTATTAGTTAGTTTTGTGACTATTTGAGATCCTTTTATGTCATTTTTGGAGCAAATCAAAATCATGACAACTGTTCTACACTAAGCTTAAATAGTAACCAAACACACTAATTGTTAAAGGGTTGCAATCATGAAGCTAATCAAAAGAAGCTACCTTCCATACTAGAGCTTATATTTTATTTCATTTTTGTACATTTTTCTTAGCATGTTTGTGAAAGACATTTAGAGGCCCAAAAATCATTAAGAAGTAATTTTTAGAGTTATTTAATCATTTTAAAACCCAAAGAAAAACATCCTAGCGGTGCCAACTTCATGTGCGAAAAAATGATGCATATGACACACATGGGTGGCCTACACTACAGGCCTAAAATGATCATAAAGGTCTCTAGGTTTCATGATAAGAGGGCAAGCTTTAGCCTACAAGGCCAAAGGTTTGTTAGTGGACTAACTTATGGCCAGCTAACTAAACATCCTAGCAAGTATATTTGGGTGGGAAAGTAAAAGCAGTCAGATTTGTGTGCTAATGTGTAACCATTCGGCAATACAATGAAGAGTCTCTACAGGACTATCAAGGCGTACCTAACCCAGGCGTGCCCACTTAGAAGTTCCCATGCAAATGATCCATGGATCACATAGTAATTTATTAACACAACACATGCATCTACATAGTGAGTATATAAAAACTTGCTATCACATAGTGTGCAAGAAGAATAAATTCAAAGCATGTGAAATTCATTAATATAAGTAAAGGGGATTGGCGGTAAACCATGTTATACATAAAGCATGTGAAAATTTATCAACATAGAAACAATTTATATAAGCAATGAACAATCCTAAACATACCTTTATGTACAAATTTTCTCAATCGATCATAAATGATATAAATAAGGTGCTATATAAATGATACTAAACATGCTTCATAAACATCTCTCTTGAAGCTATAAGACATGCAAATGTTATTTAGACACCACGAAAGAATTATATATTTGGTCACATGATTTGATTGTGGCTCGTAGTAGTGATGTAACACATAGGTAAAATTCCTATGAAAATAGATCACCAACCACGAAAGGAGTTTCAATTCTTTCCCAATAACATTATTAAAGAATAAGTTTAACATGATTTTATCAGATGAAGAGTATAACCTAATAATAGTTGTAACCACATGATAAGCATGCACTACCTTACATGAGAATGAACTTCAATATATGAAACCTGGAAAGTTTATAAATAGCGATGTTTAGGATGAAATATGAAATGACATGATGGGCTTTTATTAATGATGACTAGTTGAGCAAACAAGATTGGTTTCATGCACAATCAACTAAATTACCATTAATAACTAAGTAAATGCAATGGATATGATTTATGAAGTCAACAAATAAAATGCATCTAGTATTGTGTACATGTTCCAAAAGACTAAAACAAATTCACGATTTAAATCATAGCTCAATTGTAAAAGAATGAAATAACTAGAAATTACTCATGGAGATAAATGTTAAGGAACACGATGATTTTATATATATATATATTTGCCACAAAACCATAATAAGAGAACAAACTTGCTAGAACTCAACATCAACATGGGTATGCATTTCTAGTTTCACATGCAATGTATTTTTTTTTTAAGGGCATAAGAACATATCTCTTTCATATAATAATAGATATAACTTAGAACAATCGTTTCATAGCATATACGAGTAAGCATGCATTTCTCACGATTCAAGTATACAAAGTCTTTAGAGGTAAGGATGAAATATAATATAAACATGCTTTATTTATATGCACCCCTTTGTATGCATCACTTAGATAGCAAATCTATATGTAAGACTATCTTAAGGAACTTTTTGATGAAACAATAGAAGCATGTGATCATGTATGAACGCTTTAGCTTTCCCAAACTATACTCACATTTATACATATACACAAAAAACTAGCATTTGGAGAAAAATCATTCGATAAATCTATATCTCATATTCTTGCAATGAAATTCAACTTATGGATAACAAGGCACAAACTACAACAATAAATACCATTCAACGATAAAGCAAGTACTCATCTTCCTTTATCATATTTTCAAAGGTATTTCCCTAACTTACTATCAAGAGGCATCATCAACACTTATGAGAGGGATAATAGAAATAATTTATTCACACATGAACTTTGGAAAAATCATTAAGAGAACAAGTTACAAGAGTGACAAAATGACTCATACAAAAATAAATAAAAGAAATAGAGAAGAGAACAAAAAGAAAGAAAGAAGAAGAAGAAGGAAATAAAGAATAAGAAGAAAAAGAAGAAGAAGAAGGGATGAGAGAAGAAGAAATATAGGGAGAAGAGATTACATTGCCAAGGGAAAAAGGGAGTCATCAGCTTCCACGCAATAGAAGTGACGAGACTTCGGTCCTGGCTCGGTTCGAACAGAGGAGAAGCGGAGGCTGGGCTTCGGTATAATCATGGAGTTCGCGAGCAATAGAGATGGAGCGGAGAAATGGAGGGGCTTCGGCCTTTTTCTCTTGCTTGTGCGAATAGGGAAGAGATGGAGAGAGGGGGTACTAGTGCCATAAAAAAATGCCGATATCCCAATTGCCGAGAGCCTTCATCTGGGATAAGTGTCAGTAGATCCCCAAAAAGGAAGCCCACCCTTTCTTTCCATTATACATGGCTTTTGAAATCATCGTAAACAGCTTCGCTCGTTGCTTAATACCTGTTCGAGTCGCAAAAATCTCCTGAATGGTGAGATTCTGGCTGAAAAGAAGACCACACTCGCTCACAACCGTCGATATAATTACTTGATTTAGGAATTAAATTCAAATATATTAGAAAGCTTCTTGGAGTTTAATTGGAATTAATTTGGATAACCTTAGATCAGTTATGAGTTCAAATCAAATTTGGTTTGACTCAAATCAAGATGATTTCGGGTTTAATGTGGCTCAATTAAATTATTTTAATGATATTAAACTCAAAAATAATATCAATTGAGAATAAATCGGCCCGACGGGGTCGCCATATTTTTATCTAAATTGAACGAGTGCAATTGAGTCAAATTCGATTCGATTCGAGTCAATTCAAAAATAAATTCTAATTGATGTCGATTCAACTCGCATTCGACTCATCGTGGCTCGATCAAGTATGGTCGAGGGACAATTAGTGAAAATCGAGGTCAACAACTGTACTTATGATACAAAATTTCTAAGTTTCGAGTTCCCAAAAGATTTCTTAAAATTCTTTTCATTACTGTCAAATGTGATTATTTTGGATTAGATTGAAATTTAGCATACAAAAAAAATAGTAAACATTATATCAGGTCTACTAGTAGTCAAATAAAATAATGATCTAATTATACCTCTAATTTTTTTTTATCAATAAATTTTTCCTTTGGGTTATTATCCAACTGAACTAAGAAACTCATTGGTGTAGTTACTAGTTTAGCATTATCCATTTCATACTTTTTGAGATTGTCATTAATATATTTTAACTGACTAATAAAAGTTTGCTTCTCATTTTGCTTAATACTAAAACTAAGAAAATTATTTTTCTCCCTTCAAACTCATCTCAAATTTACTACTCATAATTTTAGAAAATCATCACAAAAATTTTTATTTATAAATTCAAAAAAGATAACATCAATATATATCTAAACAATGAGTATGTTACTTCTTAATTTCTTCAAAAAGAGTGTGGTGTCCACACTTTCATTTATAAAGATATCTCTAATAGGAAAGTGCTTAATCTCTCATACATATAGCCCTAGGTGCATATTTCAATCCATATAATATTTTTTTTAATTTATATACATGATTAGAAATTTAGAATTTTTAAAGCCTGGAGGCTGCTCAATATAAACTCCTCTTATATCACTCCATTCAAAAAGATACTCTTAACATCCGTTTGAAACAGTTTAAAACATCTAAAATAGGTAAATGTTAACAAAACCCTAATTGCTTCAAGTCTAGCTACAGGGGCAAAAGTCTATTCAAAATCAATACCTTCAATTTATTTATACTCCTTAGCCACCAATCTAGTCTTATTTCTAATCACATATCTTAAATCATTCATTTTATTTTCAAACACCCATTTAGTTCCAACTATACTTTGATATTTTGGCATTTCAATCAATTCCCAAACATCATTTCTTACAAATTAATTTAACTCCTCTTGCATGGCCAAAATCCAAAATTCATCTAAAAGTATTTGATTAATATTTGTGGGTTCAATCATAGAAATAAAGACAGAATGATTAACCTCTTTGTTAAGTCCATGCCTAGTTCTAACACCCTCACTAGGTTCACCTAAAATTAATTCCTTAGGATAATTTTTAGAAGATTTTAATTTTTTAGGCAAAGGATTTTACATCTCCAAATTTTCTTTCAAATTTATCCTTTCAATCCATTGGGAGTTATTTTCTTTATGACCATCTTTCAAACTTGGCTTTTCAAAAATGACAGATTCATCAAATACAATATATATGGTCTTCTCAACTACTAAAGTTCTTTTGTTAAACACTCTATATGATTTTCCAACATTAGAGTATCCAAGAAAAATTACTTCATCTGATTTTAGATCGAATTTTCTTGAAGGAGATTATCCATTATTATGTTTGAACATCTTACATCCAAAAATATATAAATACGACAAATTAGGTGTTCCACCTTTAAAAAGCTCAAAGGGCATTTTATTCAATTTCGATCTAATATTCACCTTATTTAGAATATAACAAGCTGCACTAATCACTTCATCACAAAAATATTTTAGAAGTGAATATTCTGCCAATATGGCTCTAGCGGCTTCAATTAATATTCTATTCTTTTTTTTAATTATCCCATTCTACTGAGGGGTACTAGGTGCAAAAAAATTATGATCAATTTCATTTTCTTTACAAAAATTCTTAAAATTTTCATTTTCAAATTCACCTCCGTGATTACTTTGAATAATTAAAATTTTACATCCTAGTTTTCTTAGAATCTAAGATAAATAGTTTCTAAATTCCTCAAATGATTCACTCTTATTAAATAAAAATTTAACCCATATGAATTTTGAAAAGTCATCAACTATCATAAATCTGCATACCTTCCCTCCTAGACTTATAATGCTAATTGGTCCAAAAAGATCCATATGAATAATCTCCAATACACTACAAGAAAATAACTTTTTTCTAGCGGAAATAAGTTCGTCAAATATTCCAGTGGATTACCGACGGAACATTTTCAGCGGATTTTCTGGTGAATTTTCGGCGAAATTTTTGATTGGTTTTCCGACAGATTTATTTCCGACGGAATTTCCAACGAAAATTAATTTTTTTTTAAAAAAGACTATAATAAATATTAATAATTAATTATTTTATTAAATTAAGTTAAATAATTTAATAACTTGTTATCAAATAAAATTATTTTAATTATATTTTATTAAATTAAATTCATTAAGTAATAATTAATAATTCATTATAAAATTAAATTAATAATTATTTGTAAAATTAAATTAATTAGGTCTGTTAAAATAAATTTATTAAATTAGATTACATTAATTAATTTTATTAAACAAATAGTCAGTTTTTGTTTAAATAAAATAAAAGAAGTAAAAGTAATAGTTTTAAATAAGCGGCATAGTGGTTGGGGCCTTGATGCAGGATCGACGAGTGTTCGAATCCTGTCGAAGACGGACCGAGTTGCGCGGGGCGGGCATTTGTCTGGCGTAGGCGGGGTTAGCTGGAGCCCTCTTGGGTTTAGCGGGGCAGGTGCAGCCGCAGCCCGATAGTGAGTTGCTCGGTCCATTAGTTCTCCTTTTATTATAGTATTTTTTTATTTTTTTATTTCCGGTGCAAAATAGTCAGCCAGAAATTATACCGATGGAATTAATCTGTCGGAAATATTTTTGGTAGCCTATTTTACACCGCAACTATTTTTTCGACGCGCAATTTACCGTCGGAAAAAAATTAGTCGGAAATCCGCCGGAAATGCTAATTTCTGATGGATTTTGGGCATTTTTCGACGAATTTTGGCCGTTGGTAACACGTAAGTTTTATGTAGTGATAGTTAGCTAATTCTAAGATCCTTAATAGAATGAAATGAGGACTTCAACTATTTTCCTAGTTGACATGCATCACAAAGGTGATCCTTAGTAGTGGTATACGGTACCGTATACCTCTAACAAGTTCTTTTTAGATAAATTTTCTAAGATTTTTCATGCTAGCATGACAAAGAATCCTATGTCATAACCATGATTCATGCGAAATTATTTCTAAATAGAAAGCATTAGGAGATTTAATACTATTTAAATTTAGTATATAAATATTGTTTAATCTATTTCCATGTAGTACATCAATTCAATTTTGGCTTAATATGCAACCAGTAGAAAAAAATTTAACACTATACCCTTTATCATATAGGTAACTAATACTCAAGAGATTATTTTTTAAGCCTTCAACAAGTAACACATTTTCAATGAAAAAATTATTCAAGTTACTGATTATACCTGTACCCATCACTTTCCTACTGGTATTATCTCCTAGTGTAACCTTACCACCATTCCTGGCTTCTAGCGATATGAATTGTGTTATGTCTCTAGTCATATGCTTCGAGCAATCACTGTCCAGGTACGAAATGCTCTCACGAGGTCTTATATGAGAGCGTCTCTACAAAACAATCAAATGTTATTCTTGGGAACCCAAATAAATTTGGGTTCTCCTCTTGGCAAAATTAAACTAGATGTATGTATGATATGATTTGTTTTATGCATCTTAGGTCTCCACACTAAATGAGTTTTGTTATGTGTAGTACATGTGTGTGAAATATGCCTAATCATTCCACAAGAAAAGCACTTAACTCCAGGAAAAGGGATTATTAATCTCCGATAATAAAATTGTCTCTTCCTAGGTTTTATGATTTTTAACTTTAAAATTGGATTAGTAAAATCTTTAAGTTTAGGGGAAATCCTATTATCCTCAAGAGCTTTCACATTCACTCTAAGAAATGTTTTTACATCTTCTAATACATTATTATCATATTTCAAATAGTGCTATCTAATTTCATATTTATCTTTAAAAGTTTAAAATTCTTTTTCCAATTCAATATAGGATGACCTTAATAACTCATTTTATTTGTTCAAATAATCAAATTCATCTAATAAGCTCATGTGGTTGTTATCAGTCTACGCATGATCTTTCATAAAGATTTCGTACTCTTTCTATAATTCTTGAAAATCTAGATTTAATCTAACATGCATTTTCTTGAGTTTTATATATGCTATATAATTTTTTTCAGAAACTTCTAATAATTTATTATAGCTTAAGTCACATACCTCCTCTTGATCTGATTGATCAAGATTATCAGCCATTAAGCATAGATTGGTGACTTCTTCTTCCTTTTCTATTTTTGATGAATTTAAAGTTAAATCTGCCCAAAAAGCTCGCTAAAATTTCTTCTTGCTCTTTCTCACATTCACTTTCCCTTACACCTTCTCCTTGTTAGGAGTGGCTTTAAGATTGAGACAATCCAATTTGACATGTCCAAGTTTCTTGCATTCATAGCAAATAACATCGTTAAAAACCTTAACATTCTTGTGGAACTTACCTTTATTTTAGGGGTGTCAATTCGGGTCAATGGGTCGGGTTCGGGTCGAACCCGGATTTGACCCGGCACTATTCAGGTCAACCCGAA